GCCCGGGGTTTTAACAAAGAAATCGCACATCAGTTGCTCCCTTGACATCTATTCTGGGCCATATATCTTAACGTCATTCCTCACCCCTTCGCCTCCAACCTGAAAGGCGAGCTGCACTAATCGAAGTCAATGCTGAGGCTAACTTCTTCATGCCTCTACGCTAGTTCGTGGCCTGACCACCGCGTCGCTTCTTCCAGTCTTGCCAAGCATGCTCAAAGTGGGAATGGCGAGGTAGACGATTAGCAGGCATACGAAAAGCATGACCGAGCCATACGAGGCGGTGTAGAGTTATTATTTCCGTCAGAGAACGACTACCCACACCTAGCATACCACGAAGAATTTCGTCATTACTTACATGATGTTCCCACCAGACAATCAATTCTTTAAAGTCATCGGTTGTCGAATATGGAAAGTCGATTAGCATCCCCAGCTCGGAGAGTTCAGATTTTGCAATCGTAAAACAGAACACTACTAACCGCGGCGGCGTACACCCTTCCCTTCAGAGACAGTCGGATGTCATGGTGGCGCTACAGGCGTCGCAGGTTGGTGAAAGTTGCTTTAGCTTTTACTATTCGTGATGCGATCTCTTCACCAACCCCACCAGCTGTGATTGAGCTCTCGAGGTACTTAAAGCTCCAGACCATTTCTGCCTGATCACTATAAAGAGTAAGCGCATGCACAGGCTCCTGTCAGTTTGAACAAACACTTTGCACTTTGATCGGACTGAATATATACCGTACCTGAATACCTCTATCGCCAAGTGGTTTAAGGCTTGTTGGACTGCCTGTGCGTTGTCATTCAACAAGGCGATGTCATCGGCATTTTCTAAATTAAGAACTGTTCCCTGGGAATTGCTCGACTCCAGCGTTTGCCAAACCGGACAAAGCGTCTTGCAGAATATCCTCTGTGGCGAAGTTAAAGAGGAATAGGGACGTAGGGTAACCTTGTCGCACTCCACTGGAGATGGCGAAGGGCGGCTAAAGCTGGCCATAAATCATAACCCGACTTGGGTAATGACGATACGAATCTTTGATGATCGATACACTTCTCAGGTACTCCATTTCCAAACAAACAGTTCCATAGTGTGGTCCTATCAATGACCCTACCACAAGCTGTTAGCATTTTATCATAATCATGCGCGTGAATCTTTAACTATGACCGAGGGCTCTTAAACGATAAGACGCTCTGTATACGAGTCCTCAGTAGGACAGGCGTGGCACGGAGCGAAGTAGCAGCAAAACTGCTCATTAATTAGGCGGCTCGTGTTTTCTCAGTTGCTGCAGGCATTTTCTTTAGGGCTTTAGATGTGTAGTCACTTGTACCTGTTTACACATTATTTTATTGATATTGTGGTTTGTGACTTGATCAATGCACATTCTTTTGATTTCGTAGGGTACTCCTACTGGTCTGCCTTACCCGCGTTTTTATCTCGGATCCGGAATGAAAGACAACACGACCACGGAAACTTGTCTTGCCGGAGCTGGTTCGTTGCTTTTTGAATTTGGTTGCTTGTCAGCGCTTTTGGGTGACCCTCAATATGCGAGCGTTGCACGTCGAGTCGTTCTGAATTTATGGAATCGTCGATCAAGCGTCACAGGACTGTTGGGTACGTTCATTTTGTATGACTTGGACACTACGCCACATCGCGAGAACCCACCAATATGAGGTGCGCTGTTGTTTCAAAGTGAAAACTTTCTCTAATGTCCGTGAATATATCCCCGGAACACACCCAACACTGCAATTATTTTATCATTAAGTAGTGGGGTGACTACAAGTGTGCCCAACTTCTGTCCATTGGTTAAGAGGTGCACATAAATGAACCCCAAGTCCGATTCCGGACAATCAGAAGCCTGTAATCGACGTGTATAATGAGAACGAATAATGTTCAAACAAAACAACATCATTAGCTCACTTTAATTGTCTAAACAGTCCCACAGCACATTTCAAATAGATTAGAGAGTGGCGAACAAGATCAAAGTGACGAGGAACTTCTGTTCCCTAAGTGGCAGATAGAGCAAGGAAAATTTATAGTGAGAACACAATAGAGGAAGAGCTCCGGTTCTTGCTCACTATCTTCACACACAATGGCTATCCAGAACGACTGGTTAGCAAGGTGATTCGGTGCAGTGGAGATATTGTGAAGAAGACCGGGGTCAAAAAGAAGTGGGGATACATTGCCTTGCCGTTCAACGGGGATAAATCAGCAGAGGTAATACAAAGGAGACTATCCGATGCTGTTAGTAATACCTTCTATGCAACAAAGCTCAATGTTCTGTTCCCATCCCAGCTAATTGTGTGTTTACCACTGAAGGAAAAAACGCCGGTTTCTGTTGTCTCATTTTGTGTGTAATCATTTACGTGTTCCTGTGAAACAACGTACATAGGCCGCACGGTCAACCGTTTGTCCGTTTATCCGTTCATGAACACCACCCCACCAGTGCATTGGTTTCACACAGTTGAAACAAATCACACTGAATGTGATCGAGGTATTCCGTCCCCTACATCGGTTCGTGGTCGACTATCAAGGCAGGTTCGATGTCTTATGCCGGCCACAGCGGAAGCGGTGGGAATTCGTCTGTGTGCCAAAAAATTTATGCAGGCGTTTGAGCTCCCCTGGCCCACCCTCCAATACACCCCAAATTGCGAGTGGTCCCAACAATCGGATGGCCTAACAATTGTGTGATGAGTGAAAATCCCACATCCGGTCCGGAGACAGAACTAGCCCCAGATTACCTATGGTGTTATTTTTCCTTTCCCAAAACAATTTGGTTTTTGAATGTTTGAATGTTGATACATGTATAAACAGCGTGATATTTTTTTTTTGATGTATTTGGTATGACTACGAATAACTGAATTCGAGCTTGTCCATCAGTTTGTTCTATTTGAGAACAACAGCCTTCAATTATGGCACGATGCGGGTATAAGAGCGAGGTACAAATTGAAGTTCACTAAGTGGTCACCGAAGAGGACGCGATGAGTGTAGTGGTATTTCAAAGGTAGGGATTATCTGAAATTCGGTCTTCAGGAGCGCGTATTTGTCATCCCAGATGTTCGCCCGATCTCTCGGTCCACAGAAAACAACATGGGGACAACGAGGGCAAGTTGGCTCAAAATGTGTACGGTTATCGTACAATCCATTTAGATGATCAAGTGGATACCGTACAGCGCAACACAAAGATAATGCATTGCATGAGGATAGACAGCCAGTAAATGAATATCCAGACAATGGTGAAATGTGCACAACATAGGTTAGACAAACAACAGTCACAGACGGTGTGGAGTGTGATGCTAGAGAAAGTAAACCAAAAGGGTTGACTAGACACGTAGAGGATCTTCGAACGAATGATATGTGAGTTAGAAGCCAATGTGAAAGGTCTCACGTGAGTAATTTCTCAACTAGTCTGAAACGCCCGTGATAGTTCGGTTTCAGGTCTTCGCTTGTCTTTCAACTGACCGCTTGTCAAGTAGTGAATTGAATCAACTTGGTGTCCAACGATGTCAAAACAGAGTATAAGAGATATTTGATTGATGGGGTAATTGACAGGCAGTTGGAAACATGCTTTTTTGGTAGTGTACATGATAATTCATGCTTACCGTCTCGTGAGACAAATGAAAAGGTTAGTACCTCCGACCCCCCCCCCCCNAATACCGAATCGCATAATCATCCTGCCTTGACAAACGTGATTAAACCACCGAACATGCGCTAAAAATCTCATCCGCATTAGATATGTGGTGTGTTGTAATTGGTGTTATTTACTGATTATTCGCTGTCTATAGGAATCTACTAGCCAAAATCTGACAGGGTGTCCAGGTTGGTTCGCATTTTCGCGAGTTTAGAGAAAAATTGTTTACCCAGTTGTCTTACGAAGGAGATGGGATAATTTGCAGAGTACTTTCAAACATAGTCAAGTGGAGATACAATGCGGCTGAAATTCACCTGTTTCGATATAACCTGTTATCAAGATAGCGGAGTAAAACCAAGCTGTTATAGCCGACCTCATGCGTGTTCGCTTACAAATATACACTTACAAATATATATCTTTCTAGTTCTACTAACATAGATTGAAAAAGAAGGCAACCCTCAATAAAGGACCAAGAATTACCGACCACAGAAGCTTTTTATTTCACACTTTAGTGTGATGAACAGCAGTTGGGAAAAACCCCATGGTCAAGAGGACCTGCTGTTCATTGAGGGAAACTGGTAACCTAAACCCCGGGGCTCGGAGTGGTGACCCACATAAGGCCCCGCTAGATTAGGCGTGGTATTTAACCGGACGACAACAAAGATGAAACGCGAAGGCAGTGAAGTCGTCTCAAGTCAACCAGTAGAAGTGAGAACCTCGGTCTAATGCGACCCAGTTTTCGCCTCGCAGCTAAAGAATTTGACTATCAAACAGGACCACTACCATTTGAATAGCTCTACTCGATCCATGTATTCCAACTTCCTTGTTCGTGAAATAAATACTTTATGCGATGTCTTGTGATAATGAGACTGGTCCAGTATCAGTTCACTAATCTAGGGTCTGTGCGAGCTGTGATTTTCCAATGACTAAGCACTCACATTCTCCCCGTTCAGCCCTCTATCAATCTCTCTCATTCAGTAACTGAAAATGACCGAGCCATAACATGTTTCTATGTAACTACTACTCTGGCATTGTATTTGTGACAGAAATAGCTTACACGTGGCCGCCAATAATCCATGTTTTGATTAAAGCGATGAGCCGTTATCATCAAATTTAGCCACTTTACCTTTCAATTGCACTTTTTCTCCCTCCTCGGGCTGCAATCTTAGGCTCTACCATCGATGTCATCTCTGGATCGTGGATCAATAAAATGAGCGGCATGGGCGCTGGTCAGGATTCGTTTTACGAATATCTGCACAAAGTACGTTCAATCAGTTCTTCCTTCTTACGCACACACGCCAGCTTCAACTAGATTTCAGTGTTGTTTGTGAAATTTTGTCGCTAAAGCACGACGATGCACTTCCCGTGATACATCAGTCATACCATGTTGCTAGTGCTAGTCTACCTGAATTCTCTCCCTTCAAATTGACACCGCTTCCAACATTCCAGTCTTTTCCCTGTTCCCTCATCCAGATGGATGGCCAAAACACAGCAACCAAAAGCACCATAAGACAATACATGTGTAATGGTTGTATAAACCGAGACTGAAGATGACTGCTAGCTTTAAAGCTCTGAACCTGTTGTCCTAAATGTCGTCATCAGGGATATCGTTCGTACATCCCTCATAGTCACGAAGACCTGCAGTTCATTTAGGAAACCCGGTGACCTAAGCCCCGGGACTCGGAATGGTGGACCACATAAGGCCCCGACATTAGCTTGTGAGTTCGTTTATTGATCCTGCTTTTAATATTCGATAGTTTAGTTTTAGTTTAAACAACGATTTAGCATGCACTTCCGTGCGTCGCTTTTGGCTGCCCATTTGGATGAACATGAAGAAGGTAACAGAAAGGTTGAAAGTAAGATCGAACAGAAAATTTAGAAGTTCAGTGGACTAACGATGCAAGGAAATTGAGAAGATGCACGACACCCAGTCATATCACTCAGGGTGTCTAACCATCAGTTCCGATCGTCCCGAGGTCCCCATCCAGGAGCCTAATGGGACTTATGTGACCCAGATTCCTGGTCAGGGCTTTCATGCCTTCATGGCAGGTCATAGGTTGACCACCCCTGACTTTAATCCACTCACTACCTATCTCGGCAAACATCGCTCGCCATGGCAACCTATTCTGTAACATCCCGCAACCAACGTAATCTGTGGAGGTCGACCACTTGTTCCAGTGGGCGACCGCGGTTGCCTAAAACTACATCTGACCTCAGCATTGCTCGTCGGGCTGCCCCACCAGATTGGTACAATGCTGCGTAGACAGCGGTGTTCAAACACCGATAGTCTATCTTTATCCTGTTTTCCTAGTGGCCAAGTTTCTGTTCCATATAACAGAACTGGTCGAACTGCTACAGTCTACACTCGATGGATTATAAATAAATGGGAAAGTCGAGTGTTAGTGTATTTCACAGTTTCAAGATTTTAAGGGGAAGAAGGGTGAATGGGTGAAATGCAGTGATAGGAGTCTGATGAGGATGACTGATTACCTGTGCACTGATGGATGAACGGGTAAAAGTTACAAGAGGAGAAACTACCGAGGCAAGGTCCGGGGAACGAAACCGAAAATACTAAGGGTAAAACGGAACAGGAAAACAACTGAATAAGTGACTGATGATTTGCGGTTTGGGAAGAATCATCGATTGACCGAATAACCCCCCATGAAACAATCTAAAAAAAGGCAATAAATGAAACCCCACCCCCACACATGACTACACTACTGGAATACAGAACAGATTTGAGCCTTTTACAGTAAGGGGCAAATGTGTTGAGCGTCTGATGCGCAATAAAAAAACTTTAAGTGCAGTAGATATGAAATATAACTACCACTTCGAATAAGTTAATGCTACTCCAAAAAAGATAAATAGAGTCCGTGGGACGCAGTTGAGTTGAACCGAAGGATAAATGTAGGAAGAATAAATGGTGTTTCAGAAAAGTTGAAAGAAGGAAGTTTTTGAAGCATTCGATGCAACAAGATTTTTGTAGCCTTTAGCAGTTATTCGAGGTCGGGGTCCTGCTAAATACTACTGCACTACGGTCAAGATCTATGTTGGTGCTGGCATGGCGAGTAGTGCGATAATAGAGGGAGCATTGGCGATTGGCGTCATCGGTAAAGGAACGGTTTGGATTGACACTTGGATAGATCGTTCATAAATAGGAAAAAAGAGAATGGTCGCAAATGCTGAGCCCTAATATGCACACGGAACGCTGAGGTAGAGCCCTGTCAACTCGGAAGGAGATGATTCGTTTATTGAAGAAACTTGATATCGATTATACGGGAGCCATTTGAACATGAGCCTTCCCCAAGTAGTACCAATCTTTTCTAGCATCAGAAGTTGGAAATGCAGAAAAATCGTCCTATCTGTTTGGACTGTAGCACCAAAATGGGTTTTGAAATTGGTGAACGATCGGACGAGTAGAATTAGTGCAGCAAGAAACAATAGTTGGAGAAACCACGTGAGGAGAGAGTATTGGGGCCGCATGTACTTCGCTAATTTGAGTCCCAGGGATGAGGTCACCAAATCCCAAAGCCGAACAGTAAGTCCTCGTACTCTTTTCCAGCATTCATCAGGCTAAGGTATGCAATAAGAAAATATCGTAAGCAGTCTGCTACCGTCAAAGAGACCATTGATGGATCTAGCAATAAAGCGAGGAGGAAAGATCAGAAGGACTGTTACGATTTCCTAATCTCCTTGTCGAATGTCCAACTTACTAGGTGACGCAAACTAATTTCTTTTAAATTGGATCATTTCATTGAGCTCACGTGATACATGTGAAAGCGTGTAATTGGATTCTCTGTTCTTTCCAGCAGATTGGTTGACTTGACGTGTCGATGAAATGAAGTCCCATAACTGATAACTGCCGTAGCATGTTCGTCGGTGTTATGATTTCATCACTTTTATGTTTTACGAAAGATCATTCGGAATTCCTTTGCGCTTGTAATGATGAGTTGGATTGTAAATGGATGGCAAAATAGATAGATGGTTGTAAACGGGTTGTTATTGCACTGTTATTTTGTATTCATGGCCCATGAATTTGAATCTAAATGAAATACATATTGTTTCTCTAGTTTTTCATTGATGGACACACAAAAGTACATCCGTTTTATTTCAAGTTTTGAGTCAGTCATCCAACAAGGATTCTTCCTCTTTATTGTTTTTCTCGTACTCCATCCCTTCATGTCAGACAGCAATCCTTTTCGATGATCCGCAACTGGGTCACATGTTCAACGAGGTGTTGGACGCTTTGCGCTTTCATCTGCGTAACTCGAACAACACCGGATCCTGTTTGAACTCTCAAGGCATTCCATCAATCTATTGGAATGTGAACATGTACACAGGCGAACGTATGAACTATTGGGTTGATTCTCTTCAATCGGTATGGCCGGGGATTTTTGTAAGTCAAGCCACATTTTTCAAGTCGTTATCCGTTTATTGTGATCGTGGACAATGGACTCAATCTCAGTGATTTTTTTCTGAAGCAGCTTGGTATATTTGTTATGTTTTACAAACTGTCTTTGTCACACGTAGTCAATATGCCGTTCAGTCCTGAAGTGAATTGGAAAAAATGTGCATACAGCTGTTTCATTGTTGTTATAGAATATCAGCAGTGTTTATCCACTGAATGCGCTGGGGTTCAAAACGCAGTGACTAAGGAATGATGAGAAAAGTCAATGATGATATAAAGTGGCTAATTAATGACAGAGGAGCCCGCGGTTTTTTTCCATGGAATCACTTTGGATAAGTTCCTTTCAGGTGGTCCTTTAGCTTCGGGACGAGGCAATAGTTCCCTTGAGTTCTTCCACTGATGGCGGAGCGCAGCTAGCTTCGCATGGCGATGAGAACGAGGAGGACGCATAGGGAGGTTGGATTTGAGGGCGACTGAGAAGAAGACTTAAGTTTTCCACCCACCGAGACATTTTTCCTTTTCTCACCAGAAATGAGCTCGTTGGAGGCGCTGGGTGACTTGTTCCTTGCCCAATGCTGATCGATCAAGCCGGAAGAGGGTCGCCGTGTCGCTCGGGTTGACTGCTGTCTCCATTTTTTTCGCCGTTTCATTCTAATAGTTGCATCTATCGTATCTTGTCGATCGTATTGCTTTTCGTCTGAGATCGCGATAAGCAGTGGATTGAGGTAGGCGTCCTCTGGCTGTATTATCCAACTGGATGGTGTGGTTGGATATCCAGTACTTCAGACGACGTGACTCAGTGCCCAGTTAGTGTGGAGCAGCTTGCTGTACCGACGACTACAGCCTAGTCCACTGAGTTTCAACTGAACTCTGTACTTCCTTGCGTACCGAGGGGATTGTTCGACTGTTGCACAGTTATCATGCCCATCAGTGTCTGGCATTTATCGTTGTTATCCAACGGAAGCACACTTAGATATTGTGAAGGGACGCTGTTCCTGCGATTTGTTCCATGGAGTCTAACTTTCGCACGAACTAGCACTTGATCACATTTCCTTTTGTTCCCGCATTCAGCCCCGCGATGGGATCGATAGAATTCAACCGAAAAAATCCTAGTGAACGCGTGAGAGGGTAATCTAGTTGGTGTGCTGTTCGTTCGTTGTTGGAGTACCACGTTAGATGTTGAAACCGCGTGTTGATAATAAACAGTCGATTATAATCAGTGAAGCTGGGTATTTTGTCACCATTCTTGCAGCACTAGCCCAGACCAAAATTCTGTACGATGTGCTTCATAGGACAGTTCGAGCGTTCCAATCCCCTGCTATGGCAAGTACATCCCATTTGGTTACCTCAACAACTGGCGATTGAAGGCTGCCATAGAACTCATCCCTAAATTTGTTGTCAGCTGGGAGAGTCGAGGCGTAGACAGCGATTACTGTGAGGTTTACTGGGTGGCCCTTGAATCGTGCTACTGCTATCCTAGAGGACACCAGTTTCCAAGAAAGTAAAGCATTATTAGTCCGATGGCTTAAAGCAAGTGCCACTCCATGTTGCCCCGAGGTTGTATTGCTGCTGTGATACAGCCAGCATTGACTATCGCACCAGGGAGTTTGATACTTTCGACACTGGAGCCTGCTAATCTGACTTCTGATAGGCGTGTAATATTCAGCCGATAGTCATGCAGCGCACGTATTGTTGGCGCATGACTCCTGGTATCTAAGAGTGTTCTTACGTTCCAGCATCCAGTGTAGGAAATTTCGCATAGTTCAGGTGTCCAGTGCGCATAGTTGTCACCCGAGCCACTGGGGGGAGGGGGAGGGTCACAGGGCGCGTCGCTTCCCGGGAACGCCGTAGCGTAATTATCGATATAAAGTAAGTGATTATCCATCACACGTTTTGGGAGTTAGGTACGGGAAACGTCCCCAGCGTCCCCAGGCTTTGGGTCGAGGTGGCTCTTGTACATCCAAGTGCTAACTGTAGGGAAGCCGGAAGGTAGCGCATGGTTTCCAATGGCCTTCAGTGGAGGGGGCTCGTACGCCATTGACAGTTTTCTGCTGAACAAAGGTCCATGCATCCCGGATGAGTACCGAATTACCGCCTTGAGCAATGAGTCGTGAAAGCAACTTCGTTCGCCCAACGCGTACGTTTGTCACCGACCCGTCGGGATTTGAGCTGCCGGTTACTCTCAACTTGGTTTAACCTACGTGTTGAGCGGTTTGCCACAGTAGCCGCTATTACATCCAGACAGCTTCCTGGAGCTACAGGTGAGAGCTGAGGTCCTGGTTGATACCAATGACTGGAGGATGTCCTAAAGGGGCAAACAGCTTTGCGAGTGAGAGGTTCTATTCCTACCGAGTACCCCATACACCCCAAGATGGTGTGTTTCACGTTGTTTTTAAGATTAGGATAGATTCTCGCTCGTCGACTCCATCATTGTTCTACTACGCAGTATTTGTCCGGAAGAGCTTGTGCCATAATCCTCGGGTGAATTATCGGTCGGTTCAATCTCCAACCTGGGATTACGCAACAACTGCGCAAGCCACCGTGGAATCGCCACCAAAGTGTTAGTTTCCACGATGCTCGATCGCCTGTTCCATTGAGAGAGAGAAATATTTGCAACCAGATAGCATTTGTATTGACCAAATCTTCAGGCTGCGTGGTCTATACATAACGCCACACACCGACCAACAATCTAGAAGGTGCCTTGAACTCAGTTCATCATGAGGCCCTAACCGGCTCGCTTCTTGGCAAAAAATGTATCAGAATTATGTAAACCTATTGGAACCGCGATACTCGCGTGCTTCTGATAGAGTAACAGTCTATAACAGTCTAATTTGTGCGTATTAAAGCAACAGCGGTGTTTTTCAGGAAGGCTCTTTTCCTCCGTTTATGTTCAATTTCGGCGAAGATGAAACAACGGAGAACGCCTCAAGTGGTTTCCAAAATACTGGTATTGAATGGATAACTGGCGAGAAGCTCTGCGATATAGTATATGCTGAGGATATCGGTTTGTTGTATATAGAGGACGCGCAGTGCGTACTTGACAAACTGATAAGTTCTGTTACTTCATTCGTTGTGCATTTTGCACCTTTGAAATGCAAAGTGGGGCTGTAAATGTGGTTGTTGTTTACTCCCACTCCGAAGTTTGATGCTCGTAGACCACCTCTGCTTTGAAATTGGTTAAGACACGCGTATTGCGCAAGCCCAGCCGTGTTCTGCCTCGCCATGCCTTAGTTGCAGTTGCTGCATCAGGATGGAGAAAACCACTTGGAGTTCAACTGATGGCATAGAGGCGCGGGGTGAAGAAATGCACAGAAATTTGATGCAGTACTGGTCTCCCATCTTTCGTGTTGGGATCCGGAAAACCAACTGTTTGGTTGGTGACAGTAAAAGACAGGGTAGTGAATCGACAGCAGTGGTGTTCCTGTTTTCACTTCTTATCAGGTCAAAATGTGTGAAGGTGTATGTAAAATTGTACAGTGTCCTTTTTGTGTTAACCACAACGGTTCACTTTTCCCTGCCCCCTTCAGAAAAGGTCCACTCCCTGTCCAACTTATATATTTGAACATACTTTGTGTAGGTTGTGTTCTTGACCGCGATCATTGAGGCGTATGGCAATGATGATGACAACATCGTTCGAATAAAGTTGATCAGTCTGCCCAACTGAACTTTGATGCGTTTACATTTTGTCCTGGTTGTGATGTCTGTTTGAACGATATTTAATAATACCGAAGTAGTAACACAGTTTTTCTAGGTATGCATCATAAACTTTCGGACTCCACATCAGATCAGTTGGCACTTTGGGTATCTGAATCGATTTGTTTTCCACCGTGCAGCCTTTCGTTGGAAATGATTCTTGACTGTTTACTTTGCGGACCGGAATTCAAAAGTAAAATGTTGCCCTCATGTATAGTTTTTATTTTTAACGAAAGCTGAATGTGATATTAGGATATATCATGCGTGAAGTTCGCTTCATTGTACTTCACTGTACGATGATAATAACAATGATAGTCTATCATTCCCGAACGTTTCCACTCTGGCACAACATATCGCCAAACAAACCAGTTCCAAGTGGTACGAGACGTCCCAAATTTACTGCGCGATCTGGCCTATAGCTCAGCAATATCTCTCTTCTGGGCTTGGATATATTCATTACGTGTTGCAGTGTAATTACACTCATGTATACCCCTACCCCCGATGCTCCTTCTCTTTTTCATTTGTTTTTCAACTGTTCCATTGCGCAGGTACATCATGGTCATTTGCAGGAGGCGGTTTGCCAACATGCGATTCATTATTTTATTTGGCAACTGTATGATCTGCCTCCAGAACGGTACGATCTTGCAACCGAACAGCCTCAATTGTACTTCTATCCATTACGACCGGAATTTGTGGAGTCCACCTATTTCCTCTATCGAGCCACACGACATCCTTTCTATTTGCGTGTCGGTGAACAGATCATCGATAGTCTGAATAAATATGCCCGAGCTGAGTAAGTTACCCAGGCTCTGACCGTTTCTCACATCCTCTTCATTTAGAAGAGTTCGTGAGTGGCTATGAGTCATTCACTTGCCGGTAGCTCTACCCATATCTGTTTTATCACGCCTAAGGATTTAACCGATAGATTATTTTCCGTATGAAAAATTTCCCACTTTTCTGGGTGCAGTCTGTTGAACAAATCATGATACAAAACAGGGATTCACAATTGGAGCATTAAACCAGTCAGATTCTGAATCACAAGATATCGAATCGGAGGGTGGAATCTACCGTCCATTGGAGATCGGTTTTCCATAGATCTGATAGTAAGAGATCACGTCCGAGGTCCGCCCAATATCGCCTGACCATGAATACTGGATTTAGCGTTGATGAAGAAGAGCTGATGGTAGAATTTATCAGTGTGGCCCCTTCCTCCCCTAGTACGCGGCGCTCATGCAGTACTCGCATTCCAATATGCATTGGCACACTTCCATTCAATGAACTTCTCCAGACAACATGCACAGTTTCATAGATTATACAAGGTTCCAAAAGTTGGTGCTCTCTGCTCAGTGGGTGTCTTATGGTCAACAACTCACTCCGTTGATCTCTTGACAAATTTGTCGACAGTCTTACAAACCTACTATCATCATTGAATAAAACCAGTTCATCTGTTCGAAACCGCACGAGAAAATGAATATCTTTGAGGGATCTGTCCTGGGGAGAGTACAAGCATCTTCCGAATGTCATCACTTGTAATAATTACCGAATACTGAAAAACCACTGCACCAGGCTGATTCGTGAGGATAAGTTGATGTGCAGAGGGTCGCTGGTGCAGAGACTCATCTCGGGGAGTTGAATATCGTATACCGGTGCTAAACTGTGCTGAGATGGCTGCAGCCACTCCAGCGGAAACATCTGAAAAATCAGTATTCTGAAGTTTTGGTGCACCAAATTTTGAAGGTTTTCAACCCCCTTCCCTTGCGGACTGCATCATCTTCAGTATCCTTCACTGGCCATTATTAGAGTTACCACAGTGAGCGTCAAATCGAAACTAACGGCTTTGCGAAAAAATGCAACCCTAGGTGTGGACAATATACACCTGAAGACGAATCACATATCCGAAACACTAGCTATATTATTTCAACGGATGCTCAAGCAAAGAGCATTCCCGCAATCGTGGAAACAACGACTTATGACACATATACACAGAGGTGTTTGTCGTTTTGACCCCGATTACTGCCAACCCGTAACCCTCCTTCCAGTGTTATCTAAAGTTATGGAGTCATTTGGGATAGATTACTTGATGGAATACGTAGATACAACAATCTTTCGCCAGCCCAACGTTGGTTTCTTTCCAACCAAATTTCTTCTTGTTCGAGATGATTTGAATAGGAGAGTCGCCGAGGGTGATGCGGTGGATCCGATTTATCCCAACTTCTCGAAAGCATTTGATCGAGTAAATCAGGAAATTTTGTTATAGAAGCTCTAGAATTATGTATTCGAGGTATCGTACTTGATTGGATTAGGGCATCCCTCCGAAAACGGACCATATCAGTTCGTGGTTCTGACTCTCTGTTCACCTCCATCGACGCTACCCTTGGGGTTCCTTAAATGGTTGGTGCTTGGTCTCTGACTTTTCCTCGTATTCATAAATGATCTATCTAATGTTCTGGTCCAGAATCAATGTTGTTCGAAAACGACGCCAAAATCTGGAATACAGTAGCACAACTCGAGGTCTCGCTATCTACTGTCTGTGAAGGATGGTATTAAATTTAATGTTAATAAGTGAAAATTTCTTTCCCCACATCACAGTAGTAAATTCCCGTATCTCCTCAGAAGACAAAAGCTGCCACGCCCCAAGTGAGAACGACATAGGTATCGTTGTTCAAGAGGAATTCAGCTGCTCGATCAATTTCGCCGGGGCTTCGTCCACAGCTGCGAAGAACGGTGGTTTGCGGAGGTGCGTCTTCGGTCGGTTTGAGTGAACTCTGTTCCCACTGTTGCTATAAGTTTACGTTAGACCGAGTACGTCATTCAAGCCTGGAGTCCCTGGCTACAGTGTGATCGTAGATAGATGCCGGGGCATCTACAAAGTATTTCCACCAAGATGATCAGCGGATTGCGTTGTCTCACCTACGAGAGGAGATTACTCTGATTGGGATTATATCCCACTCAGTACCGTCCAGTTCAAGAAGACTCGGTTTGGTGTTTTGCATAACCACTATTTAAGTGGTTGGACTGATGAATGCTCTGCAGTTCCAGTTAGTATGTTAGCGAGCTTGATTTGGTCCAGCATATAACGCATTAGCTCATACCGCATTCTTACATCACATTTCATATTGTTGAAGAACAAGCACTACCTAGAGTACTAACACTCATCTGGGTCGAGTATCTTGTTTTAAACGCCTGAAGCACGTAATCATAATCACTGACCGAACTGCTTGACTCATTTTCGAGTAGGTCACAATTTTATACCTAACTCGATTTGTTCATGGTGAGAATAGCTGACATGTTTCACTTCTTACCCCAAATGTTTAGTTAGCCATCATTCACATTCATTTTTCTGATATTATACCGTATATACGGTATAATATTTGCGCCTTTATCCTCCACCTGTCCTGTCGTGTTTCAGATGTGGCTTCGCCACCATTCACAATGTGGAAGACAAATCTCA